CATTTGCACTTAAAATCCATTTGGTCAATCAATATCCTGTTTTTCCCCACTTTTTGTTTAAAAAAAGTTCCCATCTACGTTCAAAATATATTGCTTATAATTTTCTCATAATAAATTATATTTGGGTAACCAAAATCTTCCCTTATTCAACCCTTTTAGAATTTTCATATTTCCCATCTCATAACAAAATATAATATTCTAGTTACAAATTCTATCCTTCTAATTATATATATATTGTATATATTGTTTGGAACGAGGAAGAAAATTTGATTGAAATATTTTTGGAAGAATGCTCAACCCATTTATATTCATTAAACAGCCTCCATCCTTTTCCTTCAGTTTTTCTTTTCCTTTCTTGTTTGTCAGTATTCAGCATTTCTCCTAACAGCTTTATCATCTATTCAATCAGCTCTTCTTCCTTATCCTCAAATGTGTTCTGAGATCTTTTTTTTTTTTTATCTTTTTTTTTTTATTATTAAAAGTTTTATAAATTTTACAGAAAAAACAAAAACAATACAAAACGAAAAACAACATATACAAAAAAGAAAAATTAAACAATACATATATAAAAAAACCCCCACCCCACACCCCTCCCAAAAACCCTCCCTTCCCCCCCCCTTGAGCTTCCCAGAGCAGAATATAGGCTTAAAAAATAAAAAAAAATAAAAATTAAATTAAAAACTTTATATTTATATATATGAAAGAGATATCTATAATATATATGAAAATAAAACTTATGAAAAAGCTATATGATATTTTTGTATACCCAATCTAAATTGTATAAATTTTATCCATTTATCCCAAATAGCAAAAAACTTCTCTTGCGTTTGTTGCTTTAAGAAAGCCGAAATCTTTGCCATTTCCGCCAAATAAGCTACTTTAAAAAACCATTCCTGCAATGTAGGCAAAGATTCCTTCTTCCAATATTGTCCAACTAACAGCCTCGCGGCTGTGATCAAGTTTAACATCAATACAACCTCCTTTGTATCACAATCTGTAACAATACCTAACAAAAATAATTGCGGAGTGAATTTTACCCTCCTTCTAAAAATTCTCTGGATATTCCACCATATTTTGATCCAAAATGCTTTTATCTCTCTGCATGACCACCAAATATGATAATAAGAAGCCTCCTTATAACCACATCTCCAGCATTTGGGTTGTACGTCAGGGTACATATAAGACATTTTTTGTGGATCAAGGTGCCATCTATAAAACATTTTATAAAAATTCTCCCTTAAATTTTGTGCTTGAGTAAATTTGACATTTCTCACCCAAATAGTTTCCCAGGTGTCCAATAAGACTGGCTCACCAAAGTTCTGCGCCCATCTAATCATACAATCTTTAATTAGTTCCGTTTCTGAGTCCAATTCAACTAAAACCCCATAAATTCTCTTAATGTGGGTTTGTCTTTGATCCTTCAGTTGCTTAATAAGATTTTCATCTTCTCTAAGAAAACCCACTTTACAATCCATCTTCCATCTATCTAGTAGTTGCCTATATTGGAACCAAGAATAAATAAAATTTTCTTGTATTAATTCTTCCCGTGATTTTAATTGCCAATTTTGTCCATCCCATTTAAGTAACTGTCTATAAGACACCATATCCATTTTAACCCCTCTTTTTATTCCTTCTATCGCATGCCAAGGTATAGCCCATAATGGTACTTTAAAATCACTTTTATAATATTTTCTCCAAATCCTAAGTAAAGAAATTCTTAAAATATGAGATTTAAAAGCCCAATCTATTTTTTTATTAAATATTAAATAGGCATGCCACCCATAAAGTAAATCCCATCCCTCTAAATAAAGTATCTCAGAGTTTGTCAAATTTACCCAATCACTAATTAATGTTAAAACCACCGCATCATAATATAATTTCAAATTTGGTACCTTGAGTCCACCCCTCTCACGAAAATCTTGCATAATTTTGAACTTAACCCTTGGTTTTTTCCCTGCCCAAATAAATTTATTGAGACCCTTCTGCCACTCATTTAAATTAATCTCATTTTTCAAAATTGGTAACATTTGAAACAAAAAAAGAAACTTGGGTAGAATATTCATTTTTATCACTGCAATTCTTCCCATAAGGGATAATTGCAGCTTTTCCCAGTTCTTCAAGTCCTTCTGTACCCTGACCCACAACCTTTCATAATTATTTTTAAATAATTTTGCATTAGAAACAGACAGCATCACCCCCAAATATTTTACCTTATTAACAATCTCAAAGCCCGTCAAGTTAACCAAAATCTGCTTCTCCTGACTCGACGTATTTTTAGGTAAAATTTTAGTCTTATTTACATTAATCTTAAAACCCGAAACCAAACCATAATGGTGAATCAACTGTAATAAGTTTACTACAGAATAGTCAGGTTGCGACAAAGTAACAACCAAGTCATCCGCAAAAGCTCTCAACTTATATTCTTTTTTGTTAACATATATTCCTCTAATTTCCTGGGACTCTCGAATTTTGATCAATAATATTTCTAATGTTAAAACAAACAACAATGGCGATAAAGGACACCCCTGTCTAGTACCTTTCTCTATTGTATCTAATCCTCAGGGCATACTCCATCTGTCTGTATTGAAACATCAAAATATCTTCTTGTGAGGAGTCCACCTTCTTTTCCACGTCTTGAATTTTGTCATCCAAAGAGTCAACTTTGTCCTCCACTTCCTCAAGCCTTGCATCGAGCTTAACCACCACAGTAGCCAAACCTGAGACAGCTGCCAGTATATCTTGTCGTAATTCATTATTATTTTCTTGCAATTTAGACTTTATCCCCGTTATCTCTTCTTTGAGATCAGATTTAATTTCTGATTTAATCTGTGAAACAAATTGAGTCATTTCCTCTCTCATTTGAACTACAATCTCTCCCATTATGCCTCTAACCTCTTGTGCTGAAAGTCCAGGTAGAGGAGGGGAGGGTGGTGGCTGAGCCGGTGGTGCATGTTTAGATTGTTGTGGCTGTGCAGTGGAAGTTATAGGAGAAGAAATAACCTTGGGTATTGAGGAAGGTTGCTGCCTCTTTGAAGCCATTTTAAAAAGCACAATTGTCACCTCCCTTTCCCCTCCAGCCAAAAAGGGAGGAGGAGAAAGAAAAAAAAAAGGAAAAAAGAGTTTTTTTAAAAAGAGATAAACTATAATCATTAAAGTCCAGAGTAAATCCAAGGAATAAGTGGTAAAAGAGCAAACAGTTCAAAAGAAAAAATTCTAAGCCAAAAGCAAAAGCAAAAGCAAAAAACAGTCCTTAAAAAGGGAAAGTAAAACAAAAGAGAAAGGAAAAAAAAACTCCGACACTTTCAAAACGCCATCTTAAATCCTTTCACTAATATAACAAAGAAAAGGAGGAAAAATAGTAAAAATCAAAAGATAAAAAAATAAACACCTAAAATATAACAAAAAATCCTTAAACTGCTCCGTCCGTTTAAAAATTACTCACCAAAGTGCTGTAAACACGGAGATAGAAGCGGCGGTTTCTTTTGCTTCCTAAGAAGCAAAAACAGCTGGGAGGCGGAGATCAGCAAGAGCTCCGAGGGAACACTCCTTTCACCCCCTCTAGAAATAAATCCAGAGGGGGTTCAGGGGTTCTACCTCTACTCTTGCGTTCTCTATCCCTTCCCTTTGCCCGGGAAGGGATTTCCGAGCCGCGGGCCAGCTGATGCGCGCTGCGCTCCGCGGCTCTGACACTTCCCCAGCTGGACGGCTAAAAGCTAGCCGCCATCGCCGTCGCCTCCCACCGGAAGCTCCAAATGTGTTCTGAGATCTTGACAAGTAAGATATCTTTTCCATTACCGGTTTTATCACCGCATCTTCTAATTTTTCATTTGTCTGTATCTGTCTATTAATTCCTTCCTTCAGGTCCTCCATCTTTAGATCTTGTTTCTTCTAATTTTCCTTCTGTTTTCTGAGTTACTAATTCCTTCTTTATAGTCATTGTTGGATTTGTAAGTTTAGTTTAGAAAATTGTTCTTTTATCTCATTTTCATTATTTTTAGTCTCATCATGAAATGAAACAATTGTCTGTTGGATTGATTTCAAATAGAAAGAATTTCTTTCTGAGATTCATTAACATTTTCTTGTTGGTATATCAAGCTGGGGGCTTCAGAGACAAGCGTTAAAGATGTTTTTTTTATCATTTGAGGCCAAGTATGAAACACCCATTTTATTTTTGTATGTAGTCTTTATAGTCCAACACAGATAAGCAGCCCAAGAGGTTTTTTTTTTCCTTTTCCCAGCTGCAGTCTGCAAAAGTGAAAGTTTTCAGGAACAACAGAGTCTTATCTAAGTCTGGTCTTCAAGCCAAGTTTCCTTTAAGCATAATAAATTGTAATGCCATGATTTGGCACTAGATGTCATTGACACCACTTTCCAGGTTTCCAAATCTAAGCCTATTTTGCAGACTTTTAAATATCTTTTCTAAAAAAAAGTCTCAAAGGTATTTAGTCCCCAAATTTCAAAGCTTTATATCTGTATTAATTCCAAACTGAAATTGTAGTTTTCTCTATTTTTTCTCCAAAGCAATTAATTTGCCACTTTTCTTTTCCTGATGGAGCAGGGCAAAAACTTCTCTTCCCTCTCTCATCAGGGAGGATTCTTGCTTTGGGCATTCTTTTTTCCAGGAAAGTAGTATTAAGGTCATAAAAAGAGGATAAAATCTCACCCAGTTCCATCCACATTGCTCAAAAATTGCTAGTTAGTGCTTATCTTCGGTTGTCAGGAGCTTCTGACTGGCCATAAAAATATAGCCAATCTTTCCTCTACCGGTTTGGAGGACTTCCTCAGATCCAGCAGAAGGGCTGTCCCTCCACAATTGACGAAGGTCCTCTTCTTCTTCATCGCCTCTCCAGGGTGACTTTTGACCCTTTTAGGGTCCCCAGCAGGGTGAAATTGAATGTGGAAGATGGAACCCCATCTTCCTGTGCCAGTCACACCGCGATGCCTAACTGGACGTCCCCCAGAGCTAACATTTCCTTAAACACTGACTCAGGGAAACCACATTACTGCAGCCAGGATTTAATATTATATATTCAGCCTCAAAGAGCCACAGCAGATGTGGCAGTGATATAGCAACATCACAAAAAAGGGTGGCATTGATTTTTGAAAAATTATTGGTGAGGGGGGTCAAATAGAGATAACCAAATGGGTGTATTGAGTGGGATTCTTTCCACCTCCAGTTCTGATAGGGAACATCTGGCTGGTAGGCTTGATTTGGTCCATAAGACCTTTTTATAAGCTTTATCAAAAAGGTCCATAAGACCTTTTTATAAGCTTTATCAAAACCATCTCCAGAAGATGGAGAAAAGGAAGAGTTTCTCATTAAGAAACAAAGGAAAAAACATTGCTCTCTGTGCCAGTCATTGATTCTTTTTCCTCACTGCGAAAATTTTTTACATTTATCCCTCATAACCACATCTCTCTTTTTGGATTAAACAGAGCCATTCCCATCAAACTGCCAAAGGAATGGAAGGAACTCCTCTGGAAAAACGGTAACTTTTGCCTGGAGATACTTAGTTATTTGCAACTCTCTACTCTGAAAAATCCTCTTTATGAAAACACTGAGAATATGGCTGAATAATCTGTGTTTTTGCTGGCTGAATTTGTATGTATAGCATTGGCTTCCTGCTACATTCCCCAACTGGTCCCATATGTCCCCCTCTCCTCTTGGCAACTTTAAACTATTTTTAGTGCTGAACTAATGCTAAACTTGAGATTGCCAAGGTAAGCGTGCATGCTAACAAAGCCAAAAATCCCCAAAGAAATACATGGTTACCTGCAACATGCACTCTTAAAACTTGGGAGACAATTGCCAGTGTGTGTTTCAGCATAAGAGGCAATTAAGCTTTCTATTACCTGCACACTGCTTCTACGTGCACAGAAGTGTCTTGTGACTGAAAAGGTCTTTTGAGTCCATTTTGAGAAAGAGAAATATATACCATGTTTCCCCGAAAATAAGATCGGGTCCTATATTAATTTTTGCTCCAAAAGAAGCATTAGGGCTCATTTTCCACTTAGATCTTATTTTGGAGAAAATATGGTACTAAATGCGTCCGTCTGGCTGATGATCTTAACTGAGGCTTATTTTAGGGAAACAGGGTATACATCTTTCATATAAATGATAAGAGTTTGTGTAATCTTCCAATACAGAAATATATGCCACGTTTTGTTTGAATATTGTCAAAAGGGTTTTATTCAGGCTAGGATCTCACCATTTTTCTTTTTAATTGTTTGTTTAAGGACACTTCTGGATAGAATGGAGAGGGGTACACTTGAAAAACAGGTGTGTAAATGCATAAGTGACCATTGGTGATCTGCTACTTAGTTATTGGATCTGAACAACATGGCCCCACAAGTATTATAGATGTGGCTTAGGCAAGCCTGAATTTAATAATAATTTAATAATAATAATAATTATTATGAAGATGGTAGAGGACAGGAAGACCTGGAGGAACGTTGTCCATGGGGTCGCGATGGGTCGGACACGACTTCGCAATTAACAACAACAACAACAACAACAATAATAATAACTGGAGAAGATAAAAAAATACAAAGACCTACAAATAGAAATAGAAAGACTGTGGCAAAAGCTAGCAAGGGTAGTACCAATAGTAATAGACTCCTTGGGTGCAATCCCAAAACAACTGGAGCACCACTTGAACACCATTGGCATTGGCAAATTCGCTATTAGTCAATTGCAAAAGGCAGCCTTACTAGGAACTGCTTCCATCCTGCGACGATACCTGTAATACCATCAAACATTCACATCTGCCTATCCCAGGTCCTGGGTAAGGACTCGATAGGTAGACAAAATCTGGCCGACTGTGCGATGATCCATAATAATAATAAAATAATAATAGTGTGACTGGATGGTGGATTTTTTGCAGATTTTGCAAGCTGCCTGGAATACTTATGTGTGAATCAGACAGTTACATAAATTTGTTTAAATAAATAAATAAATAAATAATCCTGTCATTTTGGGTGTGTATTAAACTCAATGAGGCTTAGTTCTGAGTACGTATACTTTAGGATTGGGTTGCAGTGTTTAACATAGGTTGGCTTTTACTTGGCAATTGATGTCTAGAGCCATCTGTTGTACTCTCTAAATGTAACTGTTCACCCATTGAATTTTAAAGTCATCTAAGCCATCACTCCATGTTGACACTAGTGTGGATAAAGATGGCAGTTTCCCAGTCATTCCTCCTGAATTTGCCACTTTCCCTCACTTGTCTCCATTTCTTCTGGATCCTGTAAGCCAATCTGTTGTCTTCAGGAACAGGAGGCACCCTGGTTTTCTGCCCACATAGAAGTAATTCAGAACCACTCTGGCTTCTCTGTGTAGAGGGAGAAAAAGACAGTTGTAATAATCAATGGTCTTGATCCCAGCCTGTCCTATACCTGTGATTTCTAGATGACTGACAACTTGAAATGTCCAAATATATGCTACAGTATTTAGAAAAAAGCAGTATTTTGAACCTTTTTGGTAGACATTTTTATGACATACTGTAGTTCCCACATTGTGCCAAACTGTGAATGACCAGAAAATTATTTCTGGAATAAATCACAATGGCTGGATTCACAAAAAATTGAAGGGAAAATATGGCTTGTTTATAACTTAATGTGTGAAGTGTATTGAGTCAAGTACACAAACCATGTTGTACAGTTTTATGTATTTTGTCTATTATTCCTATGGGATCTTTTCAGAAGAAAAGTTTTGCTACAACCAGTTGTGACTTATTAAATATACCAATATTAACAAACATGGCTTGTAGAGGTTTTGTATACTGCAAGTATATTTGTATCAACCAGATGAATTGATAAAAGCCTCATTCCCAAACAACATTAAAGCATGCATTCAGCTCATAGATCATAACTAAACCCAAATTAAATGTCATATATTAAGCCCAACACCACTTGCAAAATTTAGGAATACTAGGACTGGAGAACTTTTTTTAATTATAGCTACTAACTACTAAGGTTAATGGCTACTAACACTAATTGGCAGAAATACAAAATATGTTCCAGGATTCCCTATCATAGATAGAGAGGGAGCTAAAACTGGTGACCTAATTAGGAGTTCACAATTAAGTTTGCTCTAATTTGCTAGTCACATATTCCTTCAGGAAGAACCTCCATTCCACGAATTGGAATTTGAGATACAAATAAAATGATAATGCAACATGTAAATTAAAATCTTTGAAGCTTTATGATCATTTTAAACATCCTTTCCTCATGCTCAGACGTCAGTATCGTCATTTGAAAAGCCTCTTTGGTTTAAAGATATGTATCAACCTCTGGAGGAAATAAGGAAAAAAGACATGATTGATAAATTACATGATGAAGAGTCCTCAGAAAAGGAAAACATATACAATTGGGCTAGTGCAAGGTATTGTCTCTTCTCTTCCCTTCCCTTCCCTTCCCCTCCCCTCCCCTCCCCTCTCCTTTCCCTTTCCTTTTCTTTTTCCCTTTGGCGCATATTTCAAGAAAGAAACTGAAAAAAAATATGATGATGATGATGATGATGCATTCAGTCATGTCCAACTCTTGGTGATTCTATGGGCCAATCCTCTCCATATCTTCTGATCTTGCAATAACTTCTTTGAGTTTTTGTCTGCTCTGGCTAATGTCAGATTTGATGGTGTCCAGCCACATGTTCTTTGATGACCTGACTTCCTTTTACCACTAACTCTTCCAAATACCTTTGCTTTCTCCAGTGAATTCCCCTGCATGACATGGCCAAAGTAAAATTATAGAGGGAATAGTCCCATTTTGTAAGTTAGAGGACATCTTTATTTTTTTCATTACAAAATTCTTGGGACAAATTTGGATTTGTTCAAATTTATATTACTGCAATGCACTTTACATGGGGCTGTCCTTGAAGATCATTTCAAGTGCCCTTGAAGGCACTGGTCCAAAAACAGTGGCACGTGCAGTATTGGGTGTTCCTGTGTTTGCCCATGTTACACTTCTGTGGTAGGAGGTGTGCTGTCCCCGTTTCCTTCTGGGTGTAATTCAAGGTGCTGGTTGTCACTTTTAAATCCCTACATGGCAGGGACCAGGATATTTGTGGGATCACTTCTCCCTGACAGTATCTGCCCATCCTACCAGATCAGATGGGGTAGGTATGTTCCAGGTCCCTTCCCTGAAGTCTTGCCCTCTAGTGGGAGCTTGGAAGTGTGCCGTTTCCTGTGGCTGTGCCTACCTTACGGAATACTCTTCCCCAAATGATTCAGCAAGCCCTCAGTCTTTTAGCCTTTTGGAAGGCTGTCAATACCTGAGTTTTTACCTGGGTGCAGGGATGGAAGAAAGAATGTTTGAAGCTGATGGTGGTACATCCCAATGGGATGACTGAGAAGACGGATTTTTGTTCTCATTTTAGGGTCTTATAGTTATTGGTTTCATTGTTATGAGCCACCCAGAATTATGGGCAGCCAGGCAAATGTTGAGAAGAATATAATATAATATAATATGGTATGGTATGGTAGGGTAGGGTAGGGTAGGGCAGGGCAGGGCAGGGCAGGGTAGGGTAGAGTGTAGAGTGTAGAGGAGTGGAATGGAATGGAGCAGAGCAGAACGGAACGGAGCGGAGTGGAACAGAACAGAACAGAATAGAGCTGGAAGGGATATTGGAAATCTTCTAGTCCAGTCCCCTGCTCAAGCAGGAGACCCTATATCATTTCAGACAAGTGGCTGACCAGTCTCTTCTTAAAAACCCACAACGTCTGAAGGCAAGCTGTTCCACTGGTTAATTGTCCTTACTGTTAGGAAGTTTCTCCTTAATTCCAGGTTACTTCTCTCCTTGATTAGTTTCCATCCATTATTTCTTTGTCTTGCCTTCTGGTGCTTTGGAAAATAAATTGACCTCCTCCTCTTATGGCAGCCTCTCAAATACTGGAATACTGCTATCATGTCCCCCCTAGTCCTTCTTTTCTCTTCTTCCATTCTCAAATTCTGCAATAGTTCTTCATATGTTTTACTCTCCAGGCCTTTAATCATCTTAGTTGCTTTTCTTTGCAAATAAACTGAATAGAGGTAAAAGTGTGGCATTCTATAGAACTTTTTCTTCCATCGAAAAAAACCACAACAATACTGCAAGAATTAATAATGTGTGAAACTGTAGATGTTGCCTTTGCAGACTGCAAACTTTGGTTGTTCTATTCATACACTGTTTCTATAGTTTGCTGGGGATACTAATTTGCTTTTCTGGCTGTGGCTGTTTTCTCTGAACATAGGCAGAGGAAATGTATGTAATATTGTTTTGAAAATAAGTTTGTTTACAACCTTCTTATACAAAAACTGTACATTAAAACTAACCATACAAGTTGCAAAAAAAAAATTACACCTTATTGTTCTACAACAAACTCTGTAATTTCTGCTCTTCTTTACTTATCAGACCTCCAGAAATCCCTGAGCTTATTCCTGTGGAAAAACTGTAAGTAACTACAAAACAGTTACTAATATTTGTGTGTTAAATTTATATTTACTGACAAAGAATTAAAGGGAGATTACTTTACTAATATTGTTTACCTGTTTAAAATTTCAAGCACCACAGCAATTCTTCTGCATTTTTGTTGAAATAAAATTATTAGAAGAGTTGTTTCCAACATAATTGAATTAACTGAGCAGAGTTAAAGGTATTGTAAGAACAGTTATGGTACTTCATTGAATGTTTTAAATTTTGAATATATTAGGTATTTTATACTATGTATATAGGGGCCTATGACCTGCAATACAGTGCTTTATTTTTCAAATGTAACTATATTTTCCTCATATTTTAGCAATCCAAAAGTGAGGATAAAATTAAATTAACATTTTAGAAACAGCTACAATTGATAGAGATCCAGTTTGATGCCGTGTTTTAGGCACCAGGAGAGAAACCAGGAGATGGTGAGTTCTAGTCTCACCTTATGCCAATTGGGTGACCTTGGATCAGTCACTTTCTGGGAAGGAGGGAATGGCAAACCACTTCTGAAATCTTTCCAAGAAAACTGCAGGGACAAGTCCAACCAGTTCCAGGAGTGAACATCAATATGATGTGTGAACAGATGTGCCTTTAACGAGTAGAAGCTTTCAGGTTCAGCATCAGTCCTAAAGGAACTGCAATAGAAATCCTTTATATTTGACTTTATCATACCATTAATACTCATGTCATTCAAACCTTAATGTTGATTTTAATAATCATTTTATTAGACGCGCCATATTAAGAGTTTGGAATAAATATAAAACAAGTTTTTTTACAAAATTGCCCCTATGGGTGTCCCCCAAGAAACTTTTTTTTAGAAAAAAAATGGTGGTGAAGCCGGACTAGTGGATGTATGGTAAAATGGTATCTTTCAATTCTGGAGACCCCATCCTCAAGTCTAGGGAAGAATTTACATATTAACAAATGAAGAATGGTTTACATATTAACAAATGAAGAAAAGATTTAAGCTAGACAAAAAAAGGCCATGGTTTTTAGTTTGTTAATAATGAAATCCGACTTCCGGTGGTGTCGCGATGTGAATGGCGGCTATCAGATATCAGCTGTTCCACGGTTTAAAACCTCCTTCCTGGGCTAAAGGAAGGAGGGGAGTTTTACCCTGAATAGTGGTAGAGCCTCTGAAACCCCCCAAAAAGTTTTTGGGGGGGGGGCGAAAAGAGTGCTCCCATGGAGTTCAGGGAATCTCCGCTTCTCAGCTGTCTTTGTTCCTTGTCGTTTGGGACAAAGCAAGACACCGCTCCCACCTCCACGATTAAAGAGAACTGGTGAGTTATTTTAAAAAAAAGCGGACAAAGCTGATCGGGGAATCTTTACTTTTTAGATTTATTTGGACTTTAATTTTAAAGAATTATTTTCACTTTCTCTTTTTTTTGGTTGAGAGGGAAAGTAAAATGGCGATGTGAGGCTTTTTTTTGAATGCTTGAAAGGAAACGGAACGGATTTTGTTACTTTGTTACTTTTTCTTTTTTTCTTTTTTTTGCTTTTTATTATTATGGTTTTTTGAAAGAGACTTGGGTTTAGTTATTTTCCCTCTCTTTTGTTTATCTTTTTATTTTTGCTAGGGATCTCTTTGTACTTTTTTTTTTTAAGAAGGAGGAAAGAAAAAAAAATTCTTTTGTTTAAAATGGCTTCAAAACATCAAGTTTCCACAGTACCTAAGATGGCTTCTTCTCCGGCGATATTACCAGCCCAACAAACATCTTCTCCTCCTATACAACCACTCACGGTAAAAGACTTGCAAGATGTCATGGGAAATGTTATATCTCAAATTAGAGGAGAAGTGAAGGAGATTTTAGTGGAGAATAACAATATTTTGAGGCAAGATATAGTTTTGGCCCTAAAAGGACTTGCTTCTGTTGTTGAAAAGTTGGATTCTTGTGTTGAAGAAGTAGTAGATAAAGTGGATATATTGGAGGAAAAGTTTGAAGGAATGGAAAAAAAGATGGAAATTTCACAAGATGAAATTGTTATGTCTCAATACAGAGAGATGGAGTATGCTTTAAGAATCAGAGGCTTGAGGGAAAATACGCAAGAAAACGTGAGAGAGATGGTGGCAAATGACTTTGCTGTGATTTTGGACAGAGAAAAGGAGGAAATACTCGGAGAAATTGAAAAAATATTTATAGTTAATTCTTGGGTGGCAAAACAGAGAAATTTGCCAAGAGATGTGGTAATTTATTTTGGGAAAAGATCTTTATGCAATGAAATTATACAAGCTTTTTACAATAAGAGATTTCAGATTGCTGCACAAGATGTAATAATTTTAAAGGAGATCCCATCTAAAATTCTAAGAAGAAGAAAAGAGTTTGCTTTTTTAGCAGATGAACTTAAAAAGAGGCAGATGCCATTCAGATGGGATATTCCGACTGGAATTGTGGTGAGTCACGCAGGGACACGTTATAGACTTAATACTGTTCTTAAAGCAAGAGAGTTTTATACTTCGGTCCTGGGAGCGCGCTCATCACCACCTATAATGTTGAAAGTTTTGGAAGAAAAGGAGGTAGAACAGCAGTCTGAAGAAGCTGTATTGATGAAAGCTGGGAAAATACAGACTGAGTGGTACCAACAAGCTGAGATGAAGGAGCAGAGAATGACTCGAGCAGCACATAAGCGTAAGGAAAAGGAACAACAGAAGAAGGAGGTTAAACAAGTTTTACAAGAATTTGTTTCTGAGCCTGTGGGAGGAGCAAGACCTAAGAGATCATCGGTGCAATCCTCGATGGCAGATCTCCAAGTAGTCTTCTCTAGGCTAATGGATGGAGGAGATGGCAAAGCTCCTGACCTGGAATGTTAACGGCCTTAATTCTCCACAGAAAAGGAAGAAAATATTTCATTATTTGAAGCAACATAATAATGATATTATTTGTTTGCAGGAAACCCATATTATTTCTAAAGACCAAAAATATTTAGTTAATGCCCGATTGGGATCTCATTTTGTATCCTTTGCTTCTGGGAAAAAAGGGGGTGTAGTTATTTATGTTAAGCAAAATTTATCAGCTTCTTTACTAGATTCCGATCCTGGAGAATAGCAGCGGTTAAAATGAATGTTTTGCCAAAGTTTCTTTTTTTATTTCAAATGATACCTATTTTGAAGAACGAGGCAAGTTTAGATGAATGGCAGAAAGGTATTAATAAATTTATTTGGGCAGGGAAAAAACCAAGAGTTAAATTTAAAATTATACAACATGTACGAGAGAGAGGTGGATTCAAGGTACCAAATTTCAAATTGTATTATGATTCTGTGGTTTTAACACTGATTAGTGATTGGATTAATTTAACAAATGTAGATATACTCCTTTTGGAGGGGTGGGATTTATTATATGGATGGCATGCTTATTTAATTTATAATAAGAAGGTGGATAGGGCTTTTAAGCCTCATATTTTAAGAATTTCTCTACTTCGAGTTTGGAAGAAATATTATAGAATAGACTCAAGAATTCCATTATGGGCTATCCTGGGGCATGAAATAGAAGGAATAAGGAAAGGAGTGAAGATGGATAGTATTTCTTATAAACAATTACTTAATTGGGATGGGAAGAATTGGCAATTAAAATATATAGATGAATTAGCACAAGAAAATATTATTTATTCGTGGTTTCAGTATAGACAATTATTGGAAAGGTGGAAGATAGATTATAAAGTGGGTTTGATTAGAGAGGATGAAAATTTGTTGAAACAAATTAAAGATCAAAGTCCATCTCATAAAAAGAATTTATGATGTATTAGTGGAGTTGGATTCAGAAACAGAATTAGTTAAAAATCGCATGGTTAAATGGGCTCAAAATTTGGATGAGCCGGTTTTATTAGAAACATGGGAGAGGAATGTTAAATTCATGCAAGCTCAAAATTTACGGGAAAATTTTTATAAAGTGTTTTATAGATGGCACCTTGATCCACAAAAGATGTCTGATATGTATTCAAATTTGCAACCTAAATGTTGGAGATGTGGTTGTTTGGATGCAATGTATTATCATATTTGGTGGTCATGTAAAAGTATAAAAGCTTTTTGGACAAAGATATGGTGGAATATTCAAAAATTTTTTAAGAGAAGGCTAAAATTCACTCCACAATTGTTATTGTTAGATATTATTGTTGATTGTAATGATAAAGAAATTATTTTAATGTTAAATTTAATTACAATGGCAAGGTTGTTGATAGGACAATATTGGAAGAAGGAATTTTTGCCTACCTTGGAGGAATGGTTTTTTGAAGTTTCTTATTTATCTGAAATGGCAAAAAGTTCGGCTTATTTGAAAGATCAATCGCAAGAGAAATATCTCTTGGTGTGGAAAAGATGGATAAACTTTATATAGTATAAGTATGATATTAAAAGATATTATTTAGCTTTTGAATAATTTATGTTTAAAGTTTAAAGTTTAAGATAATAAGTATTTTTTATTATATATATATATTGGATTTTTTATTATATATATATATTGGATTTTTTTTTAAATGTAACTTTTGTTTGAGGTTTACTTAAGTTTAAATGTTTTGTATTCTTAGTTCTAGTTAACCCTGTATTCAGCTCTGGGAAGAGGGGGGGAGGGTTTTTGGGAGGGTAGGGAGGTAGTGAGAGAGGGATTTTATTGTAAAATTGTAAAACTTTTAATAAAAAAAATGAATTGGAAATCCTACTATGTGGTAGTGATGATCATATAATTGCCAAGGTCTATAAAATGTTATTAAAATTGAATTTGGAAAATGAACATGTAAAACACCATATGATCCAGTGGGCAAGGAATTTTGGGTACAATGTGATGTTTGAACCATGGGAGAATATGTGGATAAAAAGTTTTAAATTGACATTAAATTATAGCCTAAAAGAAAATTTCTACAACATGATGTATCATTGGTATTTAACACCAGTTAAGTTATCTAGAATGTATAGAACAGTGGTTCTCAATCTGTGGGTCGGGACCCCATTTGGGGTCGAACGACCATTTCACGGGGGTCGCCAAACAAGGCTGTCCGCCATTTTTCCCCCTTTTCTTTGGCCACGCCCCTGGCACCCGTTGATGTATAAGTGGTTGGGGGTCACCACAACATGGGGAACTGTATTATGGGGTCGCGGCATTAGAAAGGTTGAGAACCACTGGTATAGAAGTATTTAAAATGAATGTTGGACATGTGATAAGGCAAAGAATATTGGGAGTAGGATTCATATATTAATGAAGAAAATTCTTAAAGTGAACATAAACATTAAACCAGAAACTTTCCTTCTGGCCTAATGGAAAGAGAACTGGGAAAAAAATTTGGAACTCTGATTTTATATATGGTGACTGTTATATCCTGGGCCGACAGGCACAGGCTGCAGCGATTGGCCGGGCAGGAAAAGATCCCTTGCAATGATTGGCCAGCAGGGTACTGTGCAGGGGGGCTATAAAAGGGGGCTGCACCATTTTGCAATCTGTTCTGTTGGTGTTTGCAATAAAGAAGGACTGTGTGACCGTGCTTTGTCTCAATGCCTCTTCTTCAAGAACAGAACTGTTAGAGAATTTTAATTTCTCTATTAGTGAAAAATAAATCAGAAGCTTTCACAGTTGACTGCATTTAGCTGATTCAAATAACTTTATATTTATATAAAAATATTTACAATACCATTCTTCTTTACAGCAACATAGCTTAATGAAGACTTCTTACAGAGACAGACCAGAGACAAAACATTTTCTTCCCATTGGCTGACTGAGTTACCACATGACTTTTCCTGTTCATGAATATTCCAGCAAGAACATTGGCAATGAAGGTGGGATGCCTGCAGGGGAAATGAAGTAAGAAGCTAGGCTGACTCACCACGGGAGGCTTGCAGCTTGGAGGAGGGGTGTCTGGCGATTGCGACTCGGCCTGTCAGCACAGAAATGCTGGAGGTGAGCTTAGTGAAGGGGGGCCCTTCTCAAACCCTGCAGCAAGAGGTGTGGACGAAGTTCCTGGGCTGCAACGATGGCGAAGATAGGCCGGCTGTCGAAGTTTGACACAGTTCATCCAGAACGATGGAGCTCGTACGTGACCCGGGTGGACAACTACCTCCGGGTGAATCAAATGCGCGAAGACGGCCTCAAAGCTGCCACGTTGCTGTGGGGGGGGAGGGACAAGAGACCTTCGATATTGAGGAGAATCTGGTCGCCCCAGCACCACTGGAATCAATCACCTACACTGACTTGAAGAGGATGCTTTAAGAGCATTTCGAACCCAAGCTCTCAGTGATTGCCTGGTGACACGCGTTTGAGCAGAGGGACCAGAGGCCTGGTGAGTGTGCTGCAGAATTTGTTGCGGCCTTGCAACAAGCAGCTAGGCCCTGCGAATTCAAAGACTTGGAAGAGATCGGCTGGTCTGTGGCCTCGGAAGCCGGAAGTTGCAGCAGAAGCTCTTCGCGAAGGAAGGCCTCACGTTCCAAGATGCCCTGAGGGAAGTTTCAGCTGAAGAAGCAGCAGGCAGAGCTGTGAAGGCCTTGCGGCTTGCCAAGCCCCCTCAAGTTCCAGCCACCGTCCATCAAGAGGTCGCTCACGAAGAATCCAAACAGGATCCAGAATCGGAAGTGGACCAGCTGCATCAGGCTCCGGAGAGAAGGCCTCACAGAGGGAAGGCCCAGCCAGCATCATCCTCTAGGTGTGTCGGGTATGGAGGCCGACATCGCCACGCAGACTGCCATTTCCACTCCGCCATCTGCAGGGTCTATGGTAGGCAAAGCAACATTGCTCAGTTTGTTTGGGTCGCCAGAAGTAACGTTACCCAGAAGAATTGCCTTAGAAAGGAACCAGAGTCCACAGCCAGGTGGGCTTCTGTGCATCACGTAGGAGCATTTTTAGAACAGAGGTCCACAGGCCACTTAGGAAGAAGTTTCACATCAACGTGAAGTTGCAAGGGGTCCCCTTGTTGATGGAGCTGGACACAGGGTCCGCTCTATCGATCATCTCCCTAGACACCTTTAACAAGGTCTGCAGCAGAAGCGGCCTACGGGTCAAACCTCATCCTCACAGATTTCCAAAATTCCAGAGTCAACGTGAGGGGAGATGCCACGCTCATGGTGCAGTGGAGGAATT